GCCTGCCATCAGACCCCACCCAGCTTTAGTCTGTTATCAGACCCCATCCAGCTGCCATCAGACCCCACCCGCTGCCGTCAGACCCCAACCAACTGCCATCAGACCCCACCGTCATGCGGACCCTGAATCCAGGAAGCATTTCTCTGTCTCTGAGGACTCAGCATCTCTTGTGGGTTCCGGTTCAAAAGCATGCGCTCCTCTTAATAAATTGTCCTGTTTTATGGCGGCGCGGGGATGTTTGTTTTCCTCCCGGGGCAGCTTTAATAACGTGGGCCCGACCATAAAAGTCTTCATTATGACAGGAGCTCTAATGAGAGCCAGCTTCCCTGCTGGTGGAGGCCATCCGGTGGCTCCAGCCCAGAGGGCTGAGAGGAGCATGAGCAGGGAACCTCCTCTATTCTTAGTCCCTCTGTCTAAATATTTACCCAGCAGCCTTTGTGTGTCCCCAGAGAGCCGGGAGCAGACCCTCTGCTGTAAACTGTCTGCTGGGAGTTGAGGGCGTCTGCTCTCTGTCGCCGGCCTGCCAGCCCAGCTGTGACGTCAGACCAGGTCCAGGTCCACCGGAGCCGGACATCAGACCACACAGGTGGACGTGGTCTAGGTCTAGGTCCACTGGAGCCGGTCCTGGTCCAGGTCCATCAGAGCCAGTCCTTAGAGCGCACAGGTGGATCTGGTCCAGGACCTGGTCCAGGTCCACCGGAGATGGTCCTCAGACCACACAGGTGGACGTCCGGCCTCTAGAATCGGTCCTCATTCTGGACCTCTGTCAGAGGGAGCCTGGCACTTTCCTGTATGAGTCCAGCTGCTGTTCTGGACAAATGCTGGTCAGGTCCTGAAGAGGCCTCAGGCCTCTGGCATCTGGGCCAGACCAGGTGGTAGGACCTCTCCTGGTCCACAGCTGGACTTCTCCTGATACACATAAATGGACCTTTCCTGGTCCACTTCCCCTAGTCCACACAGCTGGACCTCTCCTGGTCCACCTCCCCTGGTCCATACAGCTGGACCTCTCCTGGACCACCTCCCCTGGATCTCTCCTGGTCCACAGCTGGACCCCCCCTTGTCCACACAGCTGGACCTCTCCTGGTCCACCTCCCCTGGTCCATACAGCTGGACCTTTCCTGGACCACCTCCCCTGGACCTCTCCTGGTCCACAGCTGGACCTCCCCTGGTCAACACCTGGACCTCTCCTCGTCCACCTCCCCTGGTCTACAGCACACCTTTCTTTTGGAGCGCTCTGACTTCTTGGACATGGTCTTCATCTTCTTCTGGAGGTGGCACAAGACCTGCAGGAGACACACAGTTACAGATCAACATCTGTAACATCTGTGAGATGCTGGAAAACCGTCGCACCCCAGTAACAACCTAAGGAAACCCCAAGGACAGCACAAGGATAGCCAGTCCAACCTGGGACCCCGACAGGATCAGGCCTGGTCTAAGTCTGGAACCCGAGTCCCTAACACTGTAACCCTGAATAACATCTGGGGGAAAACTGATTAACATCTGTAGGAAAGCTGATTAACATCTGGACCAAACCTGGTTAACATCTGGATC